ATTATTGTTATAAATATTGTATTTATTAATACATGTGTTTGTATATTGCTATTGTTATTATTAGTATTTTTTGGAGAAATTTTAGAGAGAATAAAATTGGGCGAATTGCTAAATTTTAGTGATTGGCAGATTTTATTTGGCAAATTGGTGGCCACGTGCCATTGAGCATGCATATATTGGCTCAAAATGGCTTGTTTAATTTTGGCGAATGGCTATCAAAACGCCAAATTCGCCAAATTTACTTCCTTCCAAAATTTCCCGCTATACGGTACTAGTTTATTTATCATTTTAAATATTAATGTATTATTATTATTATTATTATTATTATTATTTCTGTTTTTAAGATGGGTCTTATTGAAGAACGTCCATTTGGCTGCCCAGTGGTTAGTACAGTGGACCCTCGATTATCCGGACCCCGTTTATCCGGACCCTCGTTTATCCGGATTCAAAAATTCCAACAGGAAGTGACCACGTGGAAGCCTTCATTAATTAATTACAGTTATTTAATATTAATTTTTATTGATAATCAATTAATTATAAGCTTAATTTATTAATTAATTACTTTTTAAATGGAGAAGAAGACAGCAGGTGCTGCAGCAGTCGCAACAGAAAGGAATGATCCAGTCAAATCAAAAGCAGTGGAGAAAAAGAAGCGTAAAAGGGTCGTTCTTACTATTGAAGAAAAACTAAAGATATTAAAAATGATAGACAATGGTGTTTCATACTCAGTGATAGCAGAAAAGTTTGCCATAGGAAAGAGCACTGTTGGTGATATAAAAAAGAACAAAGGTACAATATTGAAGTTTAAGAAGAATATTGAAGAGATGGGGATGAGTAGAAAGACAAAGACAATGAAATTAAGTGATGATGTCTTGCTTGATCAGTGCGTTTACCTCTGGTTTAAACAGAAAAGGATGAAAGGTGAACCAGTTAGTGGACCACTTTTATGTGAAAAAGCTGTTGATCTGTCAAAGAGAATACATAATGAAACAACTAGTTTTAAAGCAAGTGATGGATGGCTCTGGAGATTTTGTAAAAGGCATGGTATTCGGCAACTTTCATTGCAAGGAGAGAAGCTATGCAGTGATGCAGAAGCAGCTGATAGTTTTATCACATCATTTAGAGAATTGGTGACAAAGGAAGCATTATCGCTAAATCAAATATTTAACTGTGATGAGACAGGTTTAAACTATCGTTTACTACCAGAAACAACACTTGCAGCTTCCTTTGAAAAATCTGCTGCAGGAAGAAAAAAATCAAAAGAGCGCATAACACTTAACTTGTGTTCAAATGCATCAGGCACAATCAAGTTGCCAGTTCACATAATAGGCAAAGCGAGACGTCCGCTTTGTTTTAGGAAGCTAGACATGAATTTGCTACCTGTTTTATATACTAGTCATAGCAATGCATGGATGACTGCAGCTCAGTTTACTGAATGGTTTCATGAGACATTTGTACCACATGTTCAAGAGAATCTGCACAAGTTAGGAGAGGAGCCCAGAGCCGTGTTAGTCCTTGATAATTGCTCTGCTCATGCTGTGCCTGAAGACCTTGTCAGTAAGAATGGAAAAATTTTTGCTCAATTTTTACCACCCAATGTCACTGCATTAATCCAGCCTATGGACCAAGGCGTCATACAAGCTGTGAAAAAGCGATATAAAAAGAAGTTGTTACGTAGGCTCATTATTGAGGATGATTGTGGTACATCAGTTTCAGACTTTTTGAAAGGGGTCAATTTAAAAGTAGTTGTTGACCTCATTCATGAATCATGGAATGAAGTCACAAAAGAAACAATTAGAAAGTCATGGAATAAAATTCTTCCAATCATAACCATCAAAAGTAGAGCTGAAGTACCTATTCCATCTACACCATTACTAGCAGAATTGTATCAACTAGCAACTGATGATGAAAGTGAATATGAGGCTGACTTTTGTTTATCAAGTATTGGTAACTCATGTGGCTCTGGCTTATGGCATGGTTTGAGAGTAAGGTTTCACCATGAACCTGCACAAGACACTATACCAGAATCAAGTGATGATGATGTATCTTTACAAGTTTTTACAGATTACTTTTCTGAACTTGGAATGACAATAAAGGAAACTGAGATTGCTCAGTGGCTAGAAAGCGATGCAGATCACAGTGGGCTTCAAGTTCTATCTGAAGAAGAGATTTGTGATTATGTGACACGCGTCATGCAAGGAGAAGAAAAAGATGAAGCTACAGATGAAGATAATTCAGAAACTGATGAAGAAGATATTCCATGTCCTGTAACAAATAGTGATGCTGCTCATATGTTTGAACGCTGCCTGATGTGGTTAGAGCATCAAGAAGAAGCCACTGTCTATAACACAACACTGCTTAAAGAATTGCAGATTTTAGCATCAAAAAAGAGAATGCAGTTACTTAAGCAAACAACTATCAAGAACTATTTTCATAGAGGTCTGTAAATTAATTACATGTACATGTGTTGTTATAACATAGAGATACTTTTAAAATATATAATACATGTAAGAATAGTCATAATAAATCATATCATTTTCTTTTTCCTATTTTCTTAGTCTGCTCTTCTTTATCTTTACTTTGATTACAACAAATTTACATGTACATGTATATAAGAGATGAACTATTCATGTTATACTGCCGGCCCGAGCAATTATAATTGTTTAATTTTTGCAATGGATTTTCTGAGCATTGCTATTTTCTCCTTACTCCCATTGCAAACATAAGTGCAAGGAACTTCCAGTCCTTTTCCAAGTTTTCTTTTACCTGTTATTTTACAATCCACGATTCCCCCAGAGGATATGAAGTTATTGATCACTTTTGAGAACTCTTTTGGAACTCTACCGACAATGGTATCATCTTTCTTAATGACTACTGCATTTTGATCATGAGGATTGTTGTCTTCTACTTCTAACTGCAATACTTCATCAATATAAGGAGTCCAAATAGATTTGAATACATGGTGGCCCCTAACTACACTTGCTATCGTAAATTGTGGCATCTTGCTGCAGCCTCTACCAATTCTTGGGCGTGGTGGTTAAATAAGCTATATATTTTAACCGCCACACCCATTTTTATTAACCGGACGAATTCACTTATCCAGATGGCCAAATTTTTTCTCTGTCCAAAGGGGTCCGGATAATGGGCAAGCCTGAAATACGGATCCACGCGGATCAAATGCGGATCGGGCTGAAATGCGGATCAACGCGGAACGCTCGCGGATCTCTATTGAAACTTGACTGATCTGTCTGAAAGAATGATATCTATGCATCAGGAGGGAATTTTTATTAGCTCTATTTAAGTTTTTGATAAGAACTTCATCATTTTAGCAGTTTCAGAACAGGTAGGCTGTTTATGATCATTAGATCTATGTCAATAATATTATTTTCGTTGATTACATTTACTATAGTGTCAGTTTTATTGACAGTTAGAGCTGATATAATAGTTTCAATTAGACTATAAAACTTCATAGTAACGTAGTTGCTAGTAATTTTCATGACAGTTAGATCTATATAAGCTGATTATTGTTTCATTAAGACT